TGTGTCCGCTGGCAGGGGCACCCGGTGAATGGTGTGAACGATCGCATCCTGCCGCTGCCCAACGGCAGCAGCGGATGCGGCCCGTCGACCCACAGTGGTGTCGCCTGCCTCTTGTTGAGTTGGGGCAGCTGGATTGGGCTCCCGCTGAATGGATTCAACGGTGGCATCCTGCCGCTGCCCATCGGCAGCAGCGGGTGCGACCCGTCGGCCAACAGCGGTAGCGCCTGCCTCTTGCTGAGGTGAGGCAGCAACGTCGCCATTCATAGCTTGTTGCTGCAGTGGTTGTTGGTGCAAAGTGGTAAGTGTTGGCCCCTCCCTTTGCTGCGTGGCTGTGGCAGCGGCGTACGAGGATTCCGCGCGTACGGTTGTGGTGATGTCGTCATTTGGTCCAGCAGTAGTCATGGTTCGTGCCGCAATGTGTGCTACTGCTGATTTTTGCGTCTGGTACGCTTCCGTCTCAAATGGCGTGGCCAGGACGACGAAGTCCAGCGCGCCATTAACATGCCAGCGGCATGGCAGGTCGTTAGGGAGGCGATATCCAGATCGAAGGGATATGATCCACTTGTCCAGTGCCGGTATAGGGCAGTGGACTCTGTAGTGGTACCATGGGGAAACTCCTAAGATTACGTCTGCCGGCAGTAACTTAGATAGTTGTCCCCTAACCGCGCTTTCCGTCAGGCCGAGCGGCCAGCCATGGGTAAGGATTTGTAGCGGTTGTGGTATCACATAGTATGGACCCTCCCTGGCAACCCACCAGACCGGTGTGTGGCCGGCCACGGTGGTACGCAGTTGACTGCGTGTGTCTAGGAGGCTGATGAGCTGGTGCCGTTGCTGCTGGGGGATGGCGAGGTCATACGTTAAAGATAGCCCCGCCGCGCAGTTGGATATACGCTCCCCGCCAGCTGTACCTGGCATCTGCCGGCGGTTGGCAATTGCCGAGTGCAGGAGGGGTAGGAGTGCTTGGTAGAGGGATTTCTGCAATGGCCGGGTATGTCCCTCCAGTTCTGTCCTCGACCGGTCTCTGATTATGGTGGTAAACGAGACCACCAAAAGGTTGGCTCTGAGTGCCGCTTGCTGCAATTCTTGTGTGCAAGCGACCTCCAAAGCTGGGGGCTGCGGGGGACCGCGTGTCTGGCGACGGGAAGACGTTGTCGCACTCATGGTGCGATCCCAGTAGCGTCACTGCACTAGGTCGGGTTCCGCACGTCGCCGGCTAGGGATGTAAGAATTCCTAATGTTAAAGTTAGGATAGCAGCAACTGATTCAAAAGGATGGAAATGTCAGTTCCGATACCGGATCCCGCGTCGCGTTTGGTAGCGTGAGACGGCATGCCGAAACGGAAAAGATTGAGCAACAATTTTGCCGAAACGGAAAAGATTGAGCTTTATCAGACTTTATCAGACAGTCAAGGATCAGCTTTATCAGACTTTATCAGACTTTATCAGACTTTATCTGAGAGGCCGTATGCGTTTTGTTACAGCGGACCCCGAAAGGGTCGAGTGCATCAACACAACACTGAAGGCAGGCCACATGTTCTGCCTGTCCGCGACGACATTACCGTGCGTGTTATAGAGCTCCACACATACCATGTAGCGAGTAGCAGGACGAGATACGAATATATAAAGCGGAAACGATTATCACAGGTATTACCGGCTAGTTGGTTCTTGACAACCAAATGTCGCCTAGACGGAACTAACCGGAGGAAGGATATACCTCCTGTACGATAAAAAAACTAAAAACCCTGTACGATAGTACGGCAGGAGTTGTTCCGCCTCTGCGTTACAAGTAATAGTAATAAGAATATGTTAGTCATTACCGTATTTAACGGAATGCTCATAACATTCTCCCCCTTCTAAAGTCTGCTCGTCCTCGACAGACCCACTTCAATTCCGCCGCCAGGGGTAACCGTGTAAGAGTAAAGCAGTAAGTGCCTCACTGACGAGATTGTTGCGAAGAAGAGCTAGAAGAAGGAGTGTCCGGGCAGGTGGTCGCACCACACGGCCAGAACGAGTAGTTCGCACCACCTCAAGGGTAGGAGTAGGAGCAGGAGTAGGAATTGGAGGAACGACAGGAGGGGTAGTCTCACTGGCAGGAGACTAAGGAAGAACACTATTCGTAGCGTTTTTGGACGAAGGGGCAGGAATAGGATTTGTCGCAGGAATAGTAATCACGCCCAGTATTCACGCAGGAGGTCAGCGCAGTTAGTAAGTTTCGACTCAGGCTCCCAAGAGTCGTACTCAGGACCCTGGTCTTTCCATCGAAGAAGGAAGAATCGATTAGCACCACGCTTAGTGGATTTACCCTTGATTTCAACGACAGGATGATCCAGGATTTTCTTGGCTTTGAATTCGAGCTTACCATTCACAACATCAGGAACAGGAGGTAAAGGAACGCGTCCACCATCACGGTGAAGATTAAGGAGAGAAACGTGAACCACATTATGTGCACGCACGTTAGTAGGCAGATCCAAACGATAAGCCACAGGATTAACAATCTGCGTTACAGCAAAAGGACCGATGTAACGAGGAAGGAGTTTACGAGGATCATCCAAGCGCATATGCTTAGTACTCAATAATAGACGTCTCCCAATTGAAAAGTTCTCTCAGAACAATTCTTGACCGCGAAGCATTTCACACGATTTAGTTTCACGCAACATATGTTTTTTTAGGCATCATGACCCAACCATCTCTCAGAGGGCAATCATGGCCCAATCATCTCGCCAATGGTGCCGTACGACTACCACTCGCTCCCTGCTCCTCTGCTCCAAATCGGGGATCACCTCGCACAGGGAGGTGGGGAAAGGGGTAATGGGGACATTAACGCGGTCATTCCATTAGCCTGACTGATATTGCAAAGCGCGCATCGCACAGCTAGCACACAGATATCTTGTAATGCGTAAATGACTTTGACAATATGCAGGCTGAGCTGAGCCGGGGCTGCTGGCTAGCTGTCTTTTGAGCTGGGGCTGCGCTGGTTGCAGGCAAATGACTTTGGTCGACTTCATGTCGCAAATTACCGTAGCGGAACTAAAGATTTTACAAAATAAATAATTATTTGCATGCGGTAAAATGTTTTGGCAGAATTCAGAGTCTTTCTGTAAAATATTTAGTTCCCGGGAGGGAATTCGGAGCGATGCCGTAAAATATGCATGGCCCTTCACGCACAACAGGCTTTTGGCACTACCTGTTATACTATTTTATACAGAATATTGTAACATATCACTATATCAACCTATTTCTGGCAGCAGCATGGGCAAGCGCAAGCTCACCAAACACCGCTTCATTGACAAGCTGCCGGCCATACCATACCATATACGGCAATGCTCTCGCGTCCTTCATCAATCATAATAATTCTGCGGCTGCTACAGAATGGTGGATGTTTGGAGGCCGTGTCACGGTGGCTTGGCTTCCAGATGGGGGTTTACAATTCGGAGATTCTTAGTTTGAGACGTGTCGTGATGATTCTCATTGCCCCTTATGCGTGAGAGGGAGGCGGGCAGTGGTGTTGCATGGTTGGGTAGCTTTGCGGGCCGGTAAAATCCCAGGAAATCATCCACAGTACCGTAAAATCTTGGCAAAATCCGCCAGCATGCGGTAAAATACTTCGTTCCGTAAAATATATTAAAATCCATAATTTTGCGGTAAAATCTTTATTTTGTAAAATCTTTAGTTCCGCTACGGTATGCCCGTACGCGCACACGACAACACCCTAGCAATGCGCCCATCCCAGATAATCAGACATACCTGTTTGAGTATAGAAGTCGTCTTTTTGTAAAATAGCTGATACACACGTCTTGCTATCGAAGTCCGCAAACAAAGGAATATTACGCGTGCTTAACCGGTGATTGAATTGCTGTTATTCCCGTAACCTTCAAGTGCGCATCTGCCCGTCTGCTTTCAGCACCCACAGAAGCACATAGTGAGCATCCTGCACATATAATCTTAGCTTCTTTCCAGTACATGTGGCGTCGGCTCCTTGAAGCTCGTTTTGCGACCGACCTCTTCACAAATCTGCCGCAGATGGCATCGAGGATGCCTCCAAACTATGTGGCATCTCGGCTCATTTTGTTAATTGGTTAAGAAACAGCTGTACCAGAGGCAAAACCCAAAAACCGCCTGCTAGCGAAAACATCTTTCTAAAGATACCAAAACTTGGGTCCAAGTTGAACAAATTTCGAGTCCTCTGCAGCATTTGCCAGGTCTTGATTGGTTGACTTGTGTACGAGTCAAGACCCTGACTGCACGACACCATACCGGAACCTGCTGCACGCACCTGCGGTAGTTCTTTCATACCTCGTGGTAACGGCTTCTTGTCTGGTCAAAGGCCTGCCACGTCCCGATATATTTATCCACAGGTCACATTCTCCGTTTCGGCCATTGTAGCGACTTCCGACTTTCTAATTAATGATATGGCAATGTTCGGCCTCCTGCTATGCACGGAACAATACGCAACCAAAGCCGTCAACCTCAGTCCTCTATGACCAGCTGGAAATCGCTACAGCTGTGGCGGGCCCCCCCCTTCGGAAACCTGGCCACCCAGCCGGGGCTAACCTCCGCCAGGGTCCTCAGAATGTTTGTGGTAGTCCTCGACGATTGCGGCGAAAGCTGCCTCTCCAATGACCGCGGTGACCTCCGGGTCGTACAGCACACGTGCCGTGAGGCGTAGCAGCCATGCCATTAATTCGGCATGGTTGCTCACTAGCAGCGGGACGCCAGCGGTGTCCAGTCCCGGGATGAACCGGGGTGCCGCCCAGGCTCCTTGTTGTACAAGAGCCGTCAGAAAGGTAGCCAACTGATTGTCGGACAGTATTTCCGACAGTAGCGCCGTGGCGATACTTTCCATGGCGGGCCAGATGTTGTTGTAATTAGACGGCGACAGCCGCCTCGGATACGAGTCAGTCAAACTGTGACCATCCACTGGTCCCACTGTATACCCCTCAATACCGGAAGAAACGGGTTCGCACCGACAGAAAGGAGTACAGTAACGACCAGCCTACAAATATGATAAAGAAAGAGGACATTGAGGAGTATACAGTGGGACCAGTGGATGGTCACAGTTTGACCAACTCGTATCCGAGGCGGCTGTCGCCGTCTAATTACAACAACATCTGGCCCACCATGGAAAGTATCGCCACGGTGCTACTGTCGGAAATACTGTCCGACAATCAGTTGGCTACCTTTTTGACGGCTCTTGTACGACAAGGAGCCTGGGCGGCACCCCGGTTCATCCCAGGACTGGACACCGCTGGCGTCCCGCTGCTAGTGAGCAACCATGCCGAATTAATGGCATGGCTGCTACACCTCACGGCACGTGTGCTGTACGACCCGGAGGTCACCACGGTCATTGGAGAGGCAGCTTTCACCGCAATTGTCGAGGACTACCACAAACATTCTGAGGACCCTGGTGGAGGTTAGCCCCGGCCGGGTGGCCAGGTTTCCGAAGGGGGGGGCCGCCACAGCTGTAGCGATTTCCAGCTGGTCATAGAGAACTGAGGTTGACGGCTTTGGTTGCATATTGTTCCACGCATAGCAGGAGGCCGAACATTGCCATATCATTAATTAGAAACTATAAACGCATTGAGAACGGTCATATGCTTACGGCGCACTGCATAAAGACTGACGAATGTAGGTTTCAATCTCGCAACATTAACACAGGCGCTTTGTGTCTTACGATCTATCTTCGGTCTAAGAAACGTTCTATGACTAGACGTGGGCTTGCCGGCC